TGAGAATAAAATACGTAGATTTAAAAAACAAATCAGGATGAAAGAGGACGCAAATTTGTTTGATATCAATATTCTTCCCTTTTCTCCATTTTGTTTGTATTTTTGTTAACAAACATAATAATACAAAATTTTCATTGTGGTAAACGAAATAATAATTTGATCTGAGCAAGAGTTTTTTTTTCTTCCCGATTTGTAAAAAAAATCCTTACGTGATAGAAAAAAAAGAATATAATTTTTGAAATCTGCGTAGCTGAATTATGGAAAATGCGTTATCAAAACCAAAACAACTTTTACGAAATTTAAATTCGCAGGTCTGTGTTACAATTATTCCATAGTTATCTGATATTTACTGCTACATGAAAAATCCTCACATAATCGAGAATTATAATTATTCCTCCACCTAGTTATATGTTGTATCTTGGGGGCAGGGGTACCAGAATAAGTATGAAGCCCCAATCTATCATTCTATTCTAGTCATTCAGATATACTGGTTTCGGATAATTTCACTCCCCCCAACTTGTATCGGGTATCACACAAATTCTCTACTTGTCCAATAGTGAACCAAACCAGCGGCATATTAATTAAACATAAAGTTAATGAAAAAAAAATTAATAATGCAAAGTTCGGGAAATATTGGTAACAACAAAAAATTTATAAGTTACTTTGCATATAGCTTGTTACAAAAAAATTAAGTCAACTAACTATAGGTGGGTTTTTTCCACACTTTTATTAATTTCTCTATTACGTTTATCTGTAGTTAATTTGATTTTTATAATAACTGTTAGGCTTGATGATATTTAATAATACGCCAGCTTTAGGTGTTAAACTCTTACAGTATTATACTACATATATGAACAGTGTTTTAAAAAATATTTTGTCTTTCATAGACTTGCCCATCTGATTATTTCTGGTATTAAACGAAAAGCTCCTTTGGCAGCAATTTCTGGGACACAAAATATAGATCTAAAATGGACAAATTAAGAGAAATGTGGAAAAAAGAACACATACAGCGAACTTGATTTTTTAAAACAACATTTAGGCCTATTGGTTTCCAACAGTTTGCCGACTTTGGGCGTTTAGAACATAACATTTTAATGAATATTACTTGATTTTTGAAATATCACATAACAGGCTCTCAAATTTTTATTTCGTGGGGGGAGGGATGAAAATGATAAATTTCTTTTTTATTCAGTTTTCTTTGATTCATCACCAAGAAGCTATATTTATATAGGCTTTGAAGAATATGTAGTATTGATGCTATATGTTCGATTTGCTTTTGTCCAGGGCTTTTGGCGAATTCGACTACCGTGAAGAGAAAGAGTTCATTGGGTTGTACGATAACTGTCACACGCTGTTATAATATACGAAGTAAGAAACCTACACGTGTACATAGGAGGACTTCATAACACATGCTAGTAGGCATCACATTACTATAACTACAACCCTCGAATTGCATTCATTTATCATTCAATACAATGTTAATTGTGCTCATAGAAAAAAATCCACTTGTGAAGAGTCAACATATTTCGTAATTGTGCTTCAGTCATTAGAAGTAAACTGCGGTATAGAAATTAATTCTGTACGCCTCATTTTCGTCAACAAGATGGAAACCAATTGTTTCGTGGCTCAAACAAAAACAACAACAAAATAAAAACTAGGGTTAAATAATCTCTGAAATGATTGACTTTATATATTAGGGTTAAATATCTCTCAAATGATTGATTTTATATATTAGGGTTAAATATTTCTGAAATGATTGACTTTATATATTAGGGTTAAATATCTCTCAAATGATTGACTTTATATATTAGTGTTAAATATATCTGAAATGATTGACTTTATATATTAGGGTTAAATATCTCTAAAATGATTGACTTTATATATTAGGGTTAAACATCTCTCAAATGATTGACTTTATATATTAGGGTTAAATATCTCTCAAATGATTGACTTTATATATTAGGGTTAAATATCTCTCAAATGATTGACTTTATATATCAGTTTTTGGCATTTTCAGCCTGAATGGCATTTTAAAGAATGCGTGGGCTAAACGGTTAGATTCCAAAGTACAGGCACAGCAGGTTAGAGGGAGAACGACCAGTTAGCAGCATCCACCGCCTGTACTGCTAAAAATTTAAACGAAAACTTCGTAGCTTGGGTCATTTTAACCTAAATTTAGGAAAAAATACGTATCAAAGACTTGTAGTAAAATGTAAACGCTCCGTTGCCAAATTATTAATGTAGAATCGGAAAGAATTTTAGATTTTGTTCATTCTCATGTCGAAGAATTAAATATTCCCCGACATGTACTGAGCATGGTCTAGTCACTCTAGTGGTTAGGGTTTCGGAGTGGTGATACGAGGATCTCGGATTCGAAACGTGGTGCAACAAAAGCCGTTTAGTACATCTCACTTTCAACTGTGGGTGTGTTATAAGAGTAACAGTTAATCTCGCTTTTCGGTTAAAAGTAGCCTTTGACTGATTGGCTTCCCTCTCTTCCACAGTTAAAATTGGGGACAGTTAAGCCAGAACCATAGTGTTCTCAGACCTGTCCAATTAGCCCATTATGTGCAAAACGTGTCGACCAAGTGGACAAATCACACCCACACGGTCAATGCGGGCAAACAAAAGAAATGTGCCTAGGTTTAAAAAATAAACGGTTGATAAACTTGGATCAATCAGGATCACTACTCGTAATCCTGATCAACGTGATCAGAATATATCGTAAAATTGTTTGTAGTTGAGCACAAAGCTACAGAATGGGCTATCTGTGCTCTGCCCACCACGGGTAACGAAACCAGTGGCACAGCGGTACGTCTGCGGATTTACAACCCTAGAATCCGGGTTTCGCTACCCGTGGTGAGCAGAGCATAGATAGCCCATTTTAACTTTGGGCTTAGTTACAAACAAACAAACACAACAGTAGGTTATCGTTTCAACTGCATTGGTTTATGAGCCAGGTGTGGCTTAGAAATTATTGTGTTGGAACAATAAATTAAAGGATTCATAGTTCACGCTCCGTTGCCGCAAAAATGCGCCCTTCACTTTGGGACCATGGGCGCTCTATAAGAGTACTATGAAGTTAGGTGCAAGGTAACACTGGTTGGAATTGAAAAAAGTGTAAGAAAGCGGCTGACCTTTGGTCAGTCTCTCAGGGATTAGGGAATTGCAGTACTCTAAATCATTAGAAAACGATTAGTGTGTGTGTGTGTGTGTTTTATAGCAAAGCCACATCAGGTTATTTGCTTTGTCCACCGAGGGGAATCGAATCCCTGATTTTAGCGTTGTAAATCCGTAGACTTACTGCTGTCCCTCCGCAAGACAGAAAATGATTAGTGTGAGGGTGCATAGCGGCCACCTTTCTAATTTCAACCAGTATGGAGATTACAAGACCCCCCACGTTTATGAAACGTTACAATCCAATACACGAGAAACAGGCGCAAGGTAAAAAAGAAAGGGACCGGTTCGGCGTGAGTTTCAGAAAGAAATATAAAAGACAGAAGTTCAGTGAAGGAAAGGGAGGGAGACCGGGAGATGTGAGAGAGAATGAATAAACTGAGAGAAGCGAAGAAAGAATGTAATATGTTGCCAGTAAGAAACAAAACCTGTTTCTAAATCAGTGTTTTATTGATTACCAGTATTAAACAGCAATTTGTTATGTTTATGTTGGTGTTGTGAGTCAATTCCTGAAAGGAATTTAGATATAACATAAATAAACTTGATAAACATATATAAGGTAAAACGAAATGCGAGTAGAGCATGATCGTAACAAAGAGTAATGGTCAAATTCCACTGTTCTGTCAAATAAAGAGTAGCCCGAGAGTTATTGGTGGGTGATGTTAACTACCTTCTCTCTGGTATAAGAGTTGAAAATTAGAGACAGCTAAGCGAAAAATAGTTTACACACTGTTTGCATAAAATGCTCATGCATTTTCGTTTCCAAATTAACTCACAAACAATACTGTTTTAATCTGTCTATATAGTATTTAATACTTTGTCACATGCTCAGCACGAGGAATCGACGTTTCTTCACCAATCTATTTTATTAGTTTGTTATTTCTATCTATTTCTTAGCATAAGATCGAAGAAAGTGACGAAAAAGGTGTAACTCTATAAATCTCATTACTACTTGGCGTTTTCTTTATTTGTCGTAAACATTTTAGTTGTCTCTAATCTATATATATATAACAATACTGTCAGTTGTATGTCATATAACTACTTCGCAGTGTGTGGATGGATCTTCACCAAATTTGGTATGGAGGTTC